TTGAAATTTGCCTTGAAACAATTCCTACAATTCATCTGCTTTCTTCCTCACAAGTACCACCAGCTGATTTACGATTTTTATCGGGGAATTCGCTGCCCATAATAACAAAATTAGGTCGAAAAACTATCACTACTGAATTAACTAACCCATACGTTTTGTCCTCAGTACTGTAGGACGTTGTGCAAACCGCTGTTTCGATATCTTTCGCTAAACGACGTCGACGCTCCCTGCAATACCATTTCTACCAATGAATTTTCAAATGGAAAAATTTAAAAGTTAAAGTAAAAATTACCCACAACATCCGAATGGTAAAATTAGTCCAGCCTATGTGCCCTGAGTATTTTACTTCGAACTTGGTCAGCTGCTGTCGTTTCACCGTAGAGCATCTTTGCACCATCAGCAGAACTGGAAACTTCCATGTCTCTTTCGACCGTTGCTTCATTACCTGGCTGATCATCCTGGCACTGTTTCTTCCCACCCTTCGTTCTTCCAGGCAAAAATGATAAATACCCTTCACCGCATATCTGATCTTTTCTCAAGCTCACTAACGTTTCCTACTTTAAACAATGGAAATCAGGAGTAGAAGTTATGCCACGAATCTCGAATCAGCAACCAAGTCACCATTCTTCAGCTTCATCACTCCTCAGTTTACTGGAAAAAGCATAAAGCGGGGGGACCCGGATGCAGTCCGAATTCCAGAATACTGCCAACAGCAAACACCACCTGGAAAAGCTGCCGTCATTAGGGGATCACCTCACCCTCATCTGTACTAAGGGGCCAATTTCCTGCTTCTATAAGCAAAAAATTAAACAATCAACCACACTGAACACAAGTAAGCTCACAAACACGATGAAATTCTTATATTTGCACAAACGAACTACATGTGGATTGAGCCAAATGTCAGCTGCATCAGTGGCGAGAAGGAACGTAACGATGAAACAAGTGCAACTCACAGCAACAAAGCATCGATAGACCAGCTGGTAAATCTTCAGCCGTGCAACTAGTAAATTTTTCAGTTACTCTGCCCATTGATGCTTTGCTTGATGATCAGCTTGCCGGTGTTCTTGGCGTTCACTTCTTCTTCTAAGTACCAGATCAACTGTTCTCCCATCAAGGCTTTAGGAATTTTGAAATGTTAGTACCTCTATGTTCAGTATTAATACCTCTTTGGTATTCCTAGACTATGGTTATGTTTATTATTTTCCCATACAACATAAAAGAAAGATGCAATGCTGAAAAAATCTGGCTTACTCCTGCTCGCGTTCATTTTGCTCGTTGAACCATTGAATTTCCTTTTCCTTTTGTTGCTTAATGCGCTCAATTAAAACATTCCTTTCCTCCTGTGCATCACGTAGTTTGGCTTCTGTACTTGCATGACTTGCCTGGGACATAGTTTTCATTATAACATTCATAGGCTGATCCAGGGAAGGGGCGGGAAGAAGGGGGGCGCACAGATACCAGTGTTACAAAAATCCGGGTCTACTAAAAGTGAAGAAAGCTCTCTTCCCAGCTCCAGTTCTCCCTCCCAGCCGTCGCCGTACGAGAAGCGTGTTTTATCTAAGCCCCGGTTGTCGCTCAGTTAGAAGCTCCACTCCCTCCTTCTTCTCCCCCCCCCCCCCCCCCCCC